GAGAATCAACATTGAAACACTGGGCCTCCTGAGCCAAGTGAGCTATCCACGTTCATTTTGTGAAGATCTCTTCAAGACGAATGTTTCTGTGGCCAATAGCTCAGTCTGTGGCAGTTATCTAAAATCAATTTTGTGCTAACTTCTTTTAAATACAATTTGATACAATTTAAATAAAAACAAAAAGTTTTAATTGCTCATAATTAAAAGTTCCCTTCTGTTCTGTATTAGTGCACCTCGTGTCGGTTTTTATATCGTAAAACTTATGTTCTTGTTGTACTTGAGCTATATTCGTTGGATGAGAAACGTTTATGATTGAACAAATAATAATGAACGTTTAAATATTGCAGTGATTTTTTGAATTGCTCAAAAAAGTTACTTGATCATTTACTTTCTACACTCGAATTTTAGTTCTTCAACGCGATCTCTTTGAATATTATGGTGATAGTTTCGATCGTCTTTAAAGATATGCTAGCATTTTTTTTCTGATGCATGTGAAATATTCGAAGCTCAAAGCATTCATTTCTGCCTTTTCAGAAGACCAGGATTGTCGTGTCAGACCCCTTGATTGAGGACTTGATGAAAGTGTGCGACCACCACATCGGCAACGTTCTTGCCGGCACATTCCTTGCTAGCATTGCGTTTAAGAAAATCTTCGCATGGTGGACCGCAGATCAATAATATCAGTAATCTAAGGCGGTGAAGCGTTGTGAGAAATTCTTGATTTCTAACCACCTATAAAATGCTACTGTACCTTTTACCACATTTACTAGAATCTCAAACGATTAATTTCAGACGTGCAATGCCATTTTCTTCCGTATAGCAGTGCGGGCAAGCCAAGGTTGGGGGCTTCAAGATAGATTCTGGGTTGATCATTTTATGCTGTGGCATCCCACCGACTAGCGTTTAGCTTACCTGTATGGCAACAGGATAAGTCATTGTGGTAACCCGTTGTACAATGTTGTTCAGTTCGTAATAAAGCTCTGCCCACTACGGTATCACTTCTCTTGGCCCTTTATACGTTCAACCTCGGTCACGTCATCTGGCGGCGAGGAGGTCTGACCACATGAAGATGTTCCAGCCTGATGTGGTAGCGTTGAAGAATTCATCCAACGTTTTAGACTCCAACATAGTGACAAACTTGCTGCGGCTGATGCAAAGAAAGGTTTGCCCTTCTCCGCTATGTACTTTGCAAACGTCCTACTTGTTAACATTCTAACCAACTTGCAACGAAGGTTGAAGCCACGGTTAATCGACGTCAAATGTGAAGGATTGGAAGCTCAATTAATTTCGTCTTTTTCGTCCTATGGAGTGAAGAAATCCGTTGGTGCCTGAGCTAGTCACTGTGTCAAACTTGTTATTTGCTCCATCTAAAGCTTTCATCGAATTATTAAGTATTTCTACCATTCTTAATTAAAAAAACCTGGTTCTCTGTTCCTCATTTTGTGTGAATGCCGTGTTATTTTGTTCTGTTTTGTTTGCACCAACTTTGCTTATTTTTGCTCATGTAGGAAGTTGTACAAAGTTTTAGATTACTATAAGTTAAGAAGAGAAGAGAAGACATGGTTGCAACGAGAGAGTAATGATTGAAAAGTCTAGTGTGGAAAAAGATCTCGGAGTTTATGTCGACAAGGAGCTGAAATTTTCTAAGCATGTTGAAACGCAAGCTAACACATCCAACAAACTTCTTGGAC